TACCCACAAACTCACACCCCATACCCACTGACCCACACATTACCCACTGACCCACACATTACCCACAAACTCACACGCCATACCCACTGACCCACACATTACCCACAAACTCACATCCCATACCCACTGACCCACACATTACCTACTGACCCACTGACCCACACATTACCCACAAACTCACACCCCATACCCACTGAGCCACACATTACTCACTGACCCACTGACGAACACATTACCCACTGACCAACACATTACCCACAAACTCACACCCCATACCCACTGACCCACACTTTACTCACTGACACACACATTACCCACTGACCCCCACATTACCCAGTGACCCACACATCACCCACACACTCACACATCACTCACACACTCACACCCCATACGCACTGACACACTCATCACCCATTGACCCACACGTTACCCACTGACCCACACATTACCCACTGATCCACACATTACTCACTGATCCACAGATTACCCACTGACCCACGAATTACCCACACACTCACAGACCATACCCACTGACCCACACATTACACACTGACGCACGCATTACCCACAAACTCACATCCCATAACCGCTAACCCACACATTACCCACTGACCCACACATCTCCCACTGACCCACACATTACCTACTGACCCACACATTACCCATTGAACCACACATTTCTGAATGACGCACACATTAACCACACCCTCACCCCACATACCCACTGACCGACACAATCCAAACTGACCCACAAATTACCCATTGTCCCACACATTACCCACTGAAGCACACATTACCCACTGATGCACACATTACCCACACCCTCACATCCCATACTCACTGACCCACACATTATCCACTGACCCACACGTCACCCACACACGCACATCCCACACACGCTGACCCTCACATTACCCACTGACCAACACATTACCCACTGACCCACACATTACCCACACACTCAGACTCCATACCCACTGACCCAAAAATTACCCTCTGACCCACACATCACCCACTGACCCACACATTACCCAAAGACACACACACCATACACACTGACCCAAATATTTCCCACTGACCCACACATTACCCACTGACCCACACATTACCCAAAGACGCACACACCATACACACTGACCCAAATATTTCCCACTGACCCACACATTACACACACACTCACACCCTGTACCCACTGACCCACACAGTACCCACTGACCCACACATTACCCAAAGTCACACACACCATACACACTGACCCAAATATTTCCCACGGACCCACACATTACCCACTGACCCACACATTACCCAAAGACGCACACACCATACACACTGACCCAAATATTTCCCACTGACGCACACATTACACACACACTCACACCCTGTACCCACTGACCCACACATTACCCACTGACACACACATTACCCACACACTTGCACCCAATACCCACTGACCAGCACATTAACCACTGACCTGAACATTACCCACACACTCGCACCCCATACCCACTGACCCACACATTACCCACTGAGACACACATTACCCACTGACCCACACATTACCCAAAGACACACACACTATACACACTGACCCAAATATTTCCCACTGACCCACACATTACTCACACACTCACACCCCGTACCCACTGACCCACACATTACCCACTGACCCACACATTACCCACTGACCCGCACATTACCCAAAGACACACACACCATACACACTGACCCAAATATTTCCCACTGACCAGCACATTACCCACTGACCCACACATTACCCATGCACTCACACCCCGTACCCATTGACCCACACATTACCCACTGACCCGCACATTACCCACTGACCCGAACATTACACACACACTCACGCTCCATACCCACTGACCCACACATCACCCAGTGACCCACACATTACAACTGATGCACACATTACACACACACTCACACCCCATACCCACTGACCCACACATTCCCACAGACCCACACATTACCCACAGACCCACACATCACCCACTGACCCACATATTACCCAAACACTCACACCCCTTACCCACTGACCCACACATTACCCACTGACCCACACATTTCCCACTGACCCACACATTACCCACACACTCACACCCCATACCCACTGAACCACACATTACCCCCAATCTACACATCACCCACTGACGCACACATTACCCACTGACCCACACGTTACCCACACACTCACACCCCATAACCACTGACCCACACATTACCCACTGCCCCACACATCACCCACTGACCCATACATTACCCACTGACCCATACATTACCCACACTCAGACACCCCATACCCACTTACCCACACATTATCCACTGACCCACACATTATCCACACACTCACACCCCATACCCACTGACCCACACATTACCCACAGACACACACATTACCCACTGACCCACATGTCACCCACTGACCCACGCATTACATTCACGGTCACACCCCATACCCACTGACCCACAAATTACCAACAGACCCACACATTTCCCACTGACCCACACATTACCCACACACTCACACCCCATACCCACTGACCCACACATTACCCACAGACACACACATTACCCACTGACCCACATGTCACCCACTGACCCACGCATTACATTCACAGTCACACCCCATACCCACTGACCCACAAATTACCAACAGACCCACACATTTCCCACTGACCCACACATTATCCACTAACCCTTACATCACCTACTGACCCACACATTACCCACACACTCACACACCATTCCCACTGACCCACACATTACCCACACACTCACACACCCTACCTACTGACCCACATATTACCCACACACTCACACACTGTACCTACTGACCCACACATTACACAAACACTCACATATTACCCACTGACCCTCACATTACCCACACGCTCACACTCCATTCCCCTGACCCACACATTACCAACTGACCCACACATTACCCACTGACCCACACATTACCCACACACTCACAAGCCTTACCCACTGACCCACGCATTACGCACTGACCGTCACATTACCCACACACTCACACACCATACCCACTGACCCACATATTACCCACTGACCCACACATTACCCACTGACCCACACATTTCCCACTGACCCACACATTGCCCACACACTCATACCCTGTACCCACTGACCCACACATTACCCACTAACTCACATATCACACACTGACCCACACATTACCCACTGACCCACACATTACCCACACACTCACACATTACGCATTGACCCTCACATTACCCACACACTCACACATTACCCACTCACCCTCACATTATCCACTGACCCACACATTACCCACTGACCTGCACATTACCCATTGAGACACACATTATCCACTGACCCACACTTTACCCAATGACCCGCACATTACCCACTGACCCACAATATACCCACTGAGTCACACACTACCCACTAACCCACAACATTCCCACTGACCCACACATTACCCACTGACCCACACATTACCAACTGACCCACACATTACCCTCACAGTCACACCCCATACCCACTGACCCACACATTACCCATTGACCCACACATTACCCTCACACTGGCACACCATACCCATTGACCCACACATTACCCAATGACCCACACATTACCCAATGACCCACACATTACCCACACACTCACA